TCTTTAAGTACCCACACCTTCCCAGAATAGGGGGGGAGGGGGGGTTCCGGTTGACCTTCGCCGCTCGCGGATCTTAAGAGACACAAGCGCATCATTGCTCTTGGAGAGCCCTCCTCCAGAAATAGGGAGAACGGTGGATACCAGTACACACCAATTTTCATTGGGCACAAAAGTTCTTCAAAGGTATTAAAAATAATGTTGTAAATAATACTTTCATAGCTAGAACATAACGACGTTTACATATCCTTTTACATACGCGTGCAGTAGAAAGACAAAGAAAGAAGTGGTGGGGATAGAAAATTATCATTATGCCTTCTCTTAATTTATTTTTTGAGTTTTAATTTAGCATTCCTTTACTGTTCAGAGAGAGACAGAGGTTTTTTTTGCCGATATTGCCTTACCTCACATAACTATAGACAATTGTGGAGCGTATGTAAAGTGAAAATATCGAATCTGTTGCTGCAACAGTGATCAATGTTGAAAACTGTTGCATACGACAATCTGAAGGCCAATTCTCGTAATAAAAGTTCGGTTTCAATTCAGTTCCGATCAGCTTTCGACCCCACAACTGTCATAAAAGTTATTTTCGTAGTAATTAACATTCAACGTTGACTGTCGTGTGATTATATCGTATTGTAACTGAAAATTAAATCGGTAATCTGCTAATCTTAGTAATACTTTATTATTTTACTACGAAAATACCTTTTATGACAGTTGTGAGATCGAAAGTTGATCGGAACTGAATAGAGACCGAACTTTTATTACGAGAATTGGCCTTCAGATTGATTCAACTTATTGTTGAACTATCGTGTACTTTGGATGGAACGTTGCGGAGCATGTTCAGCGAACGTGGTGCGTAACAATTTTATTGTTTTGGCGCGAAAATTAGCTACATTTAAACAACTGTGATCGCGCCTACTCTAGTAGAACGCTTCTTATTCTTGATTATTTCTGCTTTACTCCGTTAGTAATAAAACACCAGCAGAACAGTAAAGAAACTCTAACATTGACAAAATTACCAATCTCGTCCAAGCTAGAAGATAATTTTATAATTTTAACAATAATTATTTCTAATCTTCCACATCTCGCGTTAGATGTAAAATTGGGATTTGAACCTGGTAATATTAAGTGTACTACGGCCTCGCAGGAAACCTGTTTTAAGCAATTCTGTCGTCAGATATTCGGGATTTCGGGTCACCTGATAGTGAGTGACTACCGTCACCCATGGTCACAAAGTCCCATGTGCGTCGGCCTTGAGGGCGTAACGAATCCCCGAACGATCTCCCAGAATGAAGAGAGAGGGTGTTAAGCTCATGGCTACAAAGTAGTGCGTAACACGACCCCCAAAATGAAGGGGGGAGGGGAGGTGTTAAGCACTACCGCCGCCCATGGACACAAAGTCCCATGAGCGGTGTCGGCCTTTTAGTGCGTAACACGCCCCCGAGAATGAGGTGAGGGGTTTTCGTTACAGTTAATACTTTTACGGGTACTTAAGACCTTTTAAACATTACCAAATACGTCCCAATTTTACATCCAAAGTATAATTTACAATTTATTTAGTACAAATTCATAGCACCCGAGTTTTTTCATTTTACAATTCATTACCTAATTAAAAGCTTTGGTTTAATTTAAAAGTGCTATTTAACTTAAAACTAAGTGACTTAGGAAAATTGGACGTGTTATAACACGTCCGGTAAAAAGTACCTACTGCATTAACATTAAATAAAATTAAGTTTTTAAATATTCAATATTATGATGACTACACGGATGGGGTAGTGCTTTGCTACTGCGCTGAGTGGATTCGATACCCACATGGGACAACACTTTGTGTGATACCCAAAATATTGTTATGAGTCTGGATGTTCTTAGTGTCTGTTTCATGTATATCTGTAAGTCCCAAGTATATATAAATCCCGTGTATATCCTATATTAGTAGTTCGGGTATCGGTAGATAGTCTTTTAAAGCAAAAAATGTAATGAACGGTATTCCACCCATGGGGTGGTATTTCTTCTTCAAACTTGAATGGGTTTAAGAAATATACCGTTCCAAATAAAAAAACAAATTCAAATCGGTTACATAAATAACCAAGTTCTGAGGTAACAGACATTAAAAATAAAACTTTCTGTTTTTGTGGTCAATTACAAAAAATAAAACATCTTTGAGCAGTACTGTCATGGAATGAATAACATTATGGTAGAATAAAAATAAAAGAAAATTATACTTATTTGGTGAGTATTTTTTTACAAAGTAGGGCAAACGAGCAAGGCCTAAATTCTGCTATTTTATGTTACCATACAAGCCACTGTCATTCCATTGACAAGCTATTGAGATACCATTGAGATCGGTCAAAATATCGGTATTCTACTAACATACATTCACAGTGTCAATAGACTGTCGATGTAGTAACAATGGCTCATCAATGGTGATAAACAACATTGCCATATCTGGAATATTAAATATATCATTTCCTTGCAGATTTACCAAACATTACATCGACGACATTTGTATCAGTGGCAGTTCAGTGACAAGTCTTACATAGTTAATAGAATACGAAAAGTGCAAAACTATTCCGACGGCATACCATCGACAGTCTATTGCAGCAATATTTAAATAACAGAATTGACGCCCAGACGGGTCACTTGATGGTAAGTAACTGCCATTAAAGGACACCTGGAAATCAAGAGACATAAGTACCTTGCTGCCCCCGGCAGAATTAGGGTGCGCTCTCCCCCCATTCGTGTATTGTCAATTACACAACTGAAACACACCACCAAACTTTGTTTGGCAACGACACCACGGCTATTTCGATTTAGATGAAATTTGGTATAGGGATACTCCGAATCCCGGGAAAAGACATAGAGTAGATTTCATCCCAGAAATCATCCTTTAAGGGGGTAAAAATGGGGGGTGGAAATTTGTATGGGGAATCAATAACCGCTGAACCGATTTCGATGAAATTTAGTGGATGGAGATACTGAAATTCTCGAGGAAAGACATGACTACTTTTTACGACGATAACCGACGTATACGCGGGCGGAGCCGCGAGATAATTTTGACTTTGACATTAGTCGAGTTTACAAGAGATTCGTAAAACATAATAATTGTATCCATTACAACGAAAAACAACTAAAACTTGAATAATACTGAACTTCAAAAATAATATCGGTTGTACAATAACTATAATTTGGTTTCACATTAAAAGCAACTTTTTTTTGTTAGAGGGGGCAGACGAGCAGACGGTTCACCTGATGGAAAGTGACTATCGCCGCCCATGAACGTCTGCAACTCAGGAGTCACAAACGCGTTGCGGGCCTTTTAGGAAGGAATAGAAACTCTTGGAACTTCTGGAAACTTCAGGAAAAGCTCTTTAAAAGGTCATGGTTGTGATCTTACAAATGAAAAATCATTGATGTCAATAAATGCAAAAAAGTTTTGTGTTAGAACTACATTAAAATGGTGTCGTTACCAAAAAAAATGTAAATGACACCTCTGTGGTGTGGTTCAATAGTGTCGTTTACAATATACGCCCCCATTTAGTGGATGCCCACTCATATCGAAGAATGACTCTCTTTCTAAACAAACTCGACAGGCCTGTTGATCTAGTGGTTAGGGACCCTGACTGCTACGCCAGAGGTCGTGGGTTCGATTCCCACCGAGGACAAATATTGTGATGAGCACGGTCATTTGTTCTGTGTCTGGGTGTACTATATCTTTAAAATGTATGTATTTAGAAATAAATAAGTATGTTTATCAACAGTCTGGTTACCATAGCACAGGCCCTGCGTAGTTTGGGATCAGACGACCGTGTGTGAGATGTGTGAAAATATTATTATTATTTAGTGGAGGGGGTGGTCTCAAGTAACTATAGGTAGAGCCCACTCATGTCGAAGTATGACTCTCTTTCTAAACAAACTGAGATCAATATTTTATCTACGCCTGTTGTTTACATGGCTAGTGGTTTTAATTACCAAATAATCATTTTAGTATTACAAATGCGCAATTTATGTATTAAATGTAGCTATTATATAGTTTATTATTTTGTTTTAATTATTTGAGACATAATGGAGATCACGCCGATGATGAGTCTACAGCTCACAACTATATGGTTAACTAAAAATCATATAAAGTACTATTGACTAAAATTATTAATCAAAAAACACTAATCCCCTCGGTATCACCAAGGTCTATCACCAAGCATACCTGACTGAGTGACTGAACACCCTCGAATCAACTAAAACCATATACTGTTCCATCATCAGGACATTTGCCGGGGCTTCGGGTGTACTCTAGAAAGGAAATCCCTATGAACTCCGGCAGAAATTGCCGGCTGTCTAATAAAAGACTCCACTGTCTTTGCGGAAGGTACTATTCCTTCAAATTTTGCTAGAGCCACGAATCGCTCAGGCAAACGCCCATGGAGGCTGGCTATCCTTTTGTTCTTTGCGACGCCTGGTACATCCTCTGTGTGACCTTTCCGCCGCCTCTTTAGCCAACATTATGTCCTCGCAAAATAAGACGGCGGCATCTGACTCACTCTCGCTTCAAACAATAGACAGAACTACAGTCTCCAAGACTTCTCCCACCGAGAGCCATCGCCAGGGTGTGGTATCGAATGTTAAAGCTACAGAATTCGTACTGGCACTCAAAGGTTGGCTCTCGGCCAATACAGCACAAGTCTGGGGAGCAACTACTCAAGCCGATAGGAGACGCTGCCGTGATCCCTCTCTAGCCAACCCTCCATGACGAGTCTAAACGACACAATGTGACGTGATCTGATTTAAATGTTTAACTTATAGTTAACTCTGAAAATTTTCAACTACAGCAATGAATAATTTAACATAACCTACATTTACAATAAATACTTTAAAGAAATTATTCTATAATCACAATAGTTTTTGTTTCACACGTTTTAATCGCGAGGACCTTCAACCCTCGACGATCGAGTATTCTGAAGTCACACCCCAAGGTCTCACCGTGGGGTATTGTTGTACTCCAAAGTTTAAAATACCATAATGTTGTTTCTTGGTGTTCTGGAGAGATTATCGTCGATGGTGAGGTACATGTTGAATGAGAAGAACATGGCTGTGGATGACATGAAATGCCAAATATCGTGGGAATCGTATAATTGCAGGAGTGAACATACTCTGTTGCTCTGGCGGGACTGCGCTGGAGTTAGCTGTGAACAAAAGTGACGATTAGTGGCAATATATGGACGTGTAATGAGGTTGGCGATCCCAGAGGGAAACAACCTTCAGGACAAGGCTATGTGATCTTGCTTGACAGGCTCAACATCGCAATCATTTCGAGAATTTTCATTGCGCGATACAGGATCAATAGTTACCTAGTAATTTATACAGCACTCGCTAGATGGCGCTAACTTAAATAAAGCACATTCTTAGAGCTTACCGTATTTTAACCAACTACATTGCCTTGCATAAAACTCACACCATCACTTTATTTTCTTTTATAATCTAATGGCGTTGTCCCTATTATCTAACAATTAGATAAAACTTCTGTGACTGATATTTATTTAACATAATAAATATTATTCAGTTTTATATGTGTATTTTGGGTATGAATGACAACAAGTCCGTGTAGTGACGGATTAAGAATACGGAATGTCACTACCCCAATTCATCCCGTGGGTGTCGTATGAGCCGACTAAGGGCACAAAACAACGCAGGACAACAGCACTGCAAAAAGAAGGAAAAGTTGACACAAACCCTATACCAACCCGTCTGGCCAGCGTGGTATAGTAGGCCAAAACCTCCTTTATAAGGAGAGGCCTATGTCCAGCAGTGGACTATTAAAGGCTGTTGATGATGATGACTAACACAGGGGCACCCAACGTGACAGTTGTAATCCCTTTTTCATGGAGTGAATCGTCCTGCTTCCGCGCTCTTTGATAAAGGCATCGAAACTGGTCTGTTCTGGGTTCGAAACTGATCGGGCATCAAACAAAAACACTCAAAAGTAATTTCGTATATCTTCAATAAATCTGAAGAGTAATTATATTTATAAGAAGTTAGTAATTACTCACCGCCCAGTTAGTGCTCTGGTCTAAATAAAAGTAGCTTGAACTGAACCAAGTGCCGTATGTCAGCGCTATGAACACCCAGCTGAAAAGAAAAAATAACCTATGAATGATTTTTTGGTTAATAAAGAAAAAAAAAAACACTAAATCTCATAAAAAATACAGGGTTTTCGAATATTGAGCCATGGCGAGAGGTCTGACAGACGTGAAACATTAAAATTATTTTGTAGAAATAATGAGTATTAAAAAACAAAAAAATTGTGGGGAGAGTCATAGTCACTTGCACGTAGCGACGCGTCGCCACACATAATCACATGTTTCATATACTATTAAAAAGCGACGCAGGTCGTGGAGACGCGTCGCCACGCCAACTGTCTGACCTGATATTAGATGATTCACATCAAAAAACAACTTTTGCTGTGTTTACCGATATTTATGTTGAGTATATTAGTGGTCCGTGTGGTGACGAATTAAGAATACAGAGTGTCACTACCCCTATTCATCCCGTGGGTGTCGTAAGAGCCGACTAAGGGACAAAACTACGCAGGACAACAGCACTGCCGAGAGAAGGAAAAGTTGATACAAACCCTATAGCAACCCGCCTGGCCAGCGTGGTATAATAGGCCAAAACCTCCTTCCTAAGAAGAGGCTTATGTCAAGCAGTGGACTGTTAAAGGCTGTTGATGTGATTATATTAGTAGTCACTGCTACGCTCCTAACGATCGTAGCGTGATATGAAATACATTATAAGCTTAGACAAAAAATGGTTTTAGAACATTAGAAGTTAGAGAATAAATTTTAACAAATCGTGTTTCCATTACACCAAAAAATACTGTATAAGCAATACATACCTATACCACCTTATAGACTCTCTATGCAATAGCTTCATGACGATATAAAAGAGAGTGTACAAGAAGAGGTTGGACATCAGCACCAGCAAGAGATGTGATGCGAAGTCCCGGCTGTGTTGAGCTACCCTGGAGACAAAATAGACACATCTATACATATACTAAAGTCTACCGAACAAGTGAGTAGAGAGTTATTAAATCTCTACACTTTGTCAATTATTATTTAATTCCATTTGCGTGGTAAAGGGCAAGTCTAATGATGAAAATTGCTATTATTTTGAAAAAGAGAAAGGTGTGAAGAGGGGGGGGGGGGAGAAGGAGGGAGAGAGAGAGAGAGAGAGAGAGAAGGAGAGGGAGGAACGAGGGGATGAGGGAGAGAAAAGGAGAGATTAGGGAGAGAGAAAGAAAAAAAAAGGGGAGAGGGAGAGGGGAGAGGGAGAACGAAAGGGAAATAGGGAGAGAGAGAAAGAGAGAGACAGAGGGAGACCATAAAAATACACTTTTTAAAACTCCGTTGTTTTCTTATAGAGTAATGGAGGGCGGGCTACCAGTCAAGGAGGGGGAAGCATATTTAACGTTCTACACACTTGTGTCTCCAGAATTACAAGTAGTTAACATCCCGTCATGCGTCTGCCCTCTAAACCATGTAAAGTCTATATTTATATAACGAAGGGTAACAGTTCGGAGTCGTGGATGTCCTCACCCGTAGGCGGCTATGGCCCAGTTGGCGAGGTTGGCGATGACGAGCAGCACGCAGCGGCCGCAGTAGGTGGGCGCGATGGCCAGCAGCGGCCGCGACACCAGCTCGCGAGCCGCGCGGTAGATCACCCCGCCGTCTGCACCGCAAGACGACATACAACATTATACTAAATATATAGATATTCAGATTTTTTATTTACATAACATATTATAGTTAAACCGCCGTAAGCTTGGCCCTCCTGATGGTTTGCGGGACGCGGGGCGGGTGATGCGCGCGGCTATACATGACACGATGTACTAACTCGATATCTTCAGATTTATTTGTTTGAGATTTAATCTACACACGATGTAATAAAAATCGAATTTATTTCCATGTCAGTGTATTGTAAGTTTTTATGATTAATTGTAAAATTTAATACTGTAAAATAATTTTAATAGAATCACCTTATCTTCATCATGTAAATTATATTCAGATACAATTTAAAAATTAAGTGAAATAATAAATATTCTTTATTAGAACTTTAACAGTAGAACCTCTGTAAGCCAAACTTCAAGTTTTTAAATCTTTTTGTGACGCAGAGTCGGCAGATTATCCATGTTGCAAACTAATACCGTGTGTAGCAGTCTTAAGAAAAATAACACGTACAGCCACGCTTTCACGTCAGTCACTGCCGGCGGACAGCGACGCACTAGCTAATTGGTTGAATGCACCCCCGCCCCGCGTCCCCCAAACCATCAGGAGGGCCAAGCTTACGGCGGTTTAACTATAATTACATGGTATTCACAGACAGGTTCACTGTGCTTTGGGTGTGTAAATTTTCAATTTATTCACGCATATAATTTAAATATAATAACTTGCACCATTAATTACTATAGAAGGATTATACATTATCAAATATTCAGTCAGAAAGAATAAACAACACATACTACAAATTGTCAGAGATATAGTCTAATACATTTATTTAATTAGGAGCTTTTTTAAGCTTAAAGGTCCTTATACATATTTTTTTTGTTTTTAAAGGAGACAACTCCTGCATTAGTAATACATCATGTGGTGCAGGGGACTTTACAAGCATACATTAAACTGACACAGGATATGTTCAATATGTTCAATCAGGCGAATCAAACCCACGACCTCTGTCTTGGCAGTCAGGGTCACTAAACCAACAGACCCGTCATATAAAGCTATAATAAAAGAAAGGAATGTTACTTACCCAACTTGAATCTACCCAAATAGTATATCTGGAAGGTCATTATGAGGCACGTTACTAAATGGAGGGCTGTGAAAGCTATCCAGAAGTAGAAGTTCGCGTTCAATACACCCACGAGACCTGGAATACAAAATATATTCAGTAATTATTATTATATAACTACCGTCACAAATGAACACCTGCAACCTATGACTCACAACTTGTCACACCCACTACCATAAATCAACCAGAAAAACAACGGTATTCTGCATTTTTTCCCAAATTTATTTATTAAGGGTACCTATTTTTTAGTGTAGTTTTTTCTCCTTCCCTTATTTTATAATATTGATGCGTCGCACAAACGTTGTTTTGCCATATACATTATTTCATAAATAAATAAATTTGGTGTATGAAAAATAGATGTTGGCTGATTCTCAGACCTACCCGATATGCACACATAATTTCACGAAAATCGGTCCAGCCGTTTCGGAGGAGTTCAACTTCTAACACCGTGACACGAGAATTTTATATATTAGATACACGTACACAATCACACACTTGTATGGTTTCGAGCTGACAACACCCAGTCTTATGGGCTGCAGCTAAAAACCAGGGTTGGAAGGCACCTGTGGCCATCCATCAGTATGCTGAGTTGCACACCTATTGGCACTTTTTGTAAAGAATTTTGCATGTGCCAATAAATTTTCTTTCTTTCTTTCTTTCGTATTGTCTGAAGCCTTGGTACAACTCCGATCGAGTCGACAAATTTATCAAGCGGCTAGAAGTCTTTGGTACATTAAGTCTGTTCGATTTTTTGTTGAGATAATGGGTAAAAGCTGTTACGTCATATCATCAACAGCCTTTAACAGTCCACTACTGGACATAAGCCTCTCCTTAGAAAGGAGGTGACGTCATATAGGTATACTTTATTCCTATGGTCCCTATAGAAATCCCCGCTTACCTATAAATATAATAAGCGCTAGTACTCCGAAAGTGGCGTGAGCCCTCGCGTTGATATCCGGATGACGAGACTGGTATATTTTGACCATACATAGTACAGATGTGACGTACATGAATGAGGTATCTGTAAAAAATAGGATTTATTAACATTACGTAGATTACAACGCCATCTATGAACGATAGACAGGACCTACTAGTAACGCCATCTATCGTAATGAAGTAATATCATATATATATAACATATATTTTGTTGTCAAATAATAATATTAAGTGATTCTAGATCACTTAATATTATTATTTATATTATTTATTATTATTAATATTACATTTTAGTTCATTCGCGTTAAGACAATACGCAATAGTGATGCATCGATCAAGCCTCATCAATCAGAAACAATAATTTTTTGGCACTTTTCATTGGTCAGGGGGCGGGGCGTACTCCATGCGTCATTATTTTCTTAACGCGAATGGACTACAGTATTTTTTTATGGTTTTTGGAAGTAGATCAAAATCTACAACCAAAAACTGCCGCAATATACAGTTACGTGAGCAAAACCGCCGGCAAAAGCTAGTCGTGCTGTAATTTTACTCACCAAACTGAAAGTTCATGCTATTTGGACAAACGTGGTAGGCAGCAGAGAGGAGCCCCTCGCTCACAAGAGCTATGCCCATGGCGTACAGCAGACCGAAGTGTTGTGGGATGCCCAGCTCTTTCTGTAGAGATAAAATAACGTTCTAACTTAAATTCTTCCATAATAACTTATAATAAAATTGCTAAAATATGATTTAATAAAATATGATTAATGATGTAATGATCAATAAAAAAAATTTACTGGCTCGGTGGTACACTGGTAGCGTATGCGACGGTCTCAAGTTCGATTCCCAGGTCGTCGGCCGGAACCAAATGTTTGTATGATCTGCAAATATTTGTCCCGGAGTTTGGGTATTTCTATGTATAATATGTATTTATTTACAAAACAAAGTTTTCTATAAGTCAATCTAGATTTGATAGTACAAGTTCTGCTTAGTTTGAAACTAGATGGCGCTGTGTGTTAGGTGACCGAAATATAATTACTTCTATTTATACAATTTTAGCTACTAAAAGAAGGTTTATTAACAGTTTATTAAAGTTCCTCACATACCTGTGTGTAAGTTTTGGCGTGGTGTTTGTTGTGCCGGCGCCACACTTGGGCCAGGAACAGCAAGCCGAGCAGAACGTACCCCAGGTTTGAGTACACGTGGTTGAAGTCTGACACCACCAGCAGCGGATGAGCACATAGGAAGTTGAAGTAGCATAGATCTTGGTTACCAGATTGGTTCAGGAGCTGCAAGAAATTTATATGTTTATAATAACATCATGGGACATAAACACAATGATGTCCAGACCCAAACCAGGCATAGCATGTAGATTAAGTAGCTGTAAGTTTCTGCGGAATTGAGCATCCCGGAGACTGTTTGATGCTACACCATCAGTTCATGGTTAGAATACTTTGTCAATACCACCAAAGCAAGAGTACACCAAATTATAAATTAAACAGATCTTTGAAAGTTAGTAAAGGCCGAATAAGGGCGCTAAACAACGCAGAACAACAGCACTGCAGAGAGAAGGAAAACTTGACACAAAACCTATACCAACCCGTCTGGCCAGCGTGGTATAGTAGGCCAAAACCTCCTTTCTAAGGAGAGGCCTATGTCCAGCAGTGGACTATTAAAGGCTGTTGATGTGATGATGTGAAAATAATAATATCCCTGTTTTTATTGTATACTATTGTGTTACCTCCCTCGTAGAACCTTCTGAGATGTAACCACACACATACTAAAACCCACTTAAAAACATACTAAAACCCACTTAAAAACATACTAAAACCCACTTAAAAACATGCTGTATAATAACTATCAACGTATAAAACAAGAATACCCCATTAAATAATAATTAGACACTGTTTACTAGACTGCGAAAATAGCCAATGAGTTTTACAGACAATAAATAAACGTGTAATAACTTTCAGACAATAAAAGTATTATAATATTTTAACTCAGCACACTTCACTCCGTCTACAACGGCTATGTTCATATCGTCGACACTTTTTTTTATAAAAAGACAACTCCCGTATTAGGAATATATCCTGTGTCGCGGGGGACTTAACAAACATACATGAAACGGACACAAAGAACACCCAGACTCAGAACAACAATTTGTGAATCACACAAAGTGTCGTGCCATGTGGGGATCGGACCCACGGACAAGTTTTTCAACTTTCCCTCGATATAAGATGGTTCTCCTTGCCTCTACCCTCCATAATTGACAGTTATACTTTGACACTGACTGACGTTGGTTTAAAAAGTTTTATTCCCAACATAAAAAAACAACAGCCTGTTTACTTACCCGTTGATATGTGACAACAAGCTGTATAACAGGCAGCGTATAGAACACGGCGACAGTCAGAACGTTCCACAGATACATCTTGGACCTGGCGGACAGCACACGAGGGCGACATCTAGAAAAAAAAAGGTTTTTATATACGGCTGGTCAAGTGCGAGTTGGGCTCTCGTGTCATGCTTCGGCAAATATGGGCTCCGTTCGACCGGAGTGATACCACGGCCTCACAGAATTTTTGAAAGAAATCTTTTTAAAAAAATTAAGTTAGTAATATTACGCGCGGTATACGATAAATAAAAGTTGTCGGTTAATTACTTTTATTGCACTTTAATTACAAACATTCGCTATTACAAACAAGAAATCACTATTAACTCCTTAGTCGCACTAGAAATTGGCTTCGATGTTAATTCGCTGTTTCGTAAAACGATACTGTCCCGTACGGCCAACACGCTCCGCTTTTATAGTGCTATCGACATTACTAGACTAATCCCGAATTTTCAATGGAATGTTCCTGACAGAACTGCGTACAATAAGGCATTGAGAACTTTCTATAATCTTCCGATATTCGACACTAGATGACACTGGAAGCATCAGAGTTAAGAACCATAATCTCAATACGTAGCGTTGTGCCATCTTGAAACTAGACGATACTACACAAGAACCATTCAATCCTATGGCGCAACAGTAATAATAATCATAAATTTATTTTAGGACATCGCACACACAGCGCCATCTAGTTTCAAACTAAGCAGAGCTAGTACTATGAAAGCTAAATTAACTGATAGAATTCTTTTATACTTTCTTTTTGTAAATATATACATATTATATTGTGGAGGAATGGATGTCATGTCCCTCTAACACAAAGGGAGGCTCCTCCAACCAGGCGAGGTAATCATGGCTGGCGGACCACGGCCGGAGTGAGTGAAGTTACAGGAACCCAAACTGATTCCAGCGGGAGAGGCTAAAGGAGCGCCACGCACTTGTGACTTTTTTTTTTTAAGACAACTCCCGCATTAGGAAAATATCCTGTGTCGCTGGGGACTTTACAAACATACATGAAACGGACACAAAGAACACTCAGACTCGGAACAACAATTTGTGAATCACACAAAGTGTCGTCCCATGTGGGGTTCGAACCCACAACACTCGGCGTAGGAAGCGGCGTGGCGACCGCTTAAACCACTACACCATCCGTGCAGTCGTGCACTTTTGAGTGGCAAGTGTGTATTGACGGTGGTAGTGTGTTACCATGAGGTGTTCAGTCTACTCGTTTGCCCCCTATGACATGAATAAAAGCCACTTACCTCGCCAAGTTAGCGACACACAGCCTCCCACCGAGTCTGTACAAGTCCTTATCTGTGTTAATGTCGTCTAAGGTTGAGAAGTCAGATTCTGTGTCTGATGATGAACTGCCATCTGTAAAGATTAATAAAAAAACATTAGATAATAATTAATAAGATACGAAACTTAATTCTCTGTATATTATCTCTATATATTTGTTTCAACCATAGAAAACAACCCCCTTGGGGTTCGATGGAGATGGAGGAGCCATGCTGAAGATCGCGTCTTCATGAAAACCGAATAATCAATTCTTTCACCCTATTACCTATTCTCTAACCCCCTCCCCCTTCCGCTAATTCAGGAGGAAGGGCAATAAAAAAGTGACAACACATTTTTCAAGTTGCAGATGTACATAGGCTGAGATACTCACTTACCATCAGATAACCCCCCAACTACTCCTTTGAACTCTATGCCATAAAAAAGGTTTAGCCTCTCCCCTCTTCATCGATGATGAACTGACCTGCCCGTTGGGTGCTGACGTCACCATCCCCCGTCAGACATCGCTGTGATGAATGCTCCCCACGGCTATTCATGGTGGGCTGTCGCCTTCTTACTTCATCTCGAATGATGGGGTACGCGGAGACTGTGCTAACATCGTGTGGAGTCATTGGGGACCTTAGATCCTCTGTAAATATAAAAAAATATTGTATAAATATGCTGGTCTCGGGTTCGATTCACGGGTCGGACCAAATGTTCTGCAGATATTTGAATCGGAGTTTGGGTGTTTTCTATGTATAATAGGTATGTATTTACAAACAAAAAGTATTTTATCAGTCAATCTAGGTTTCATAGTACAAGCTTTGCTTAGTTTGAAACTAGATGGCGTTGTGTGCTAGATGTCCAAAAATATGATTATTATCAGTTCTTGTATTAATCTCTAATGGATTATGCTTTCTCCCGCATTTTGATACAATCTCTCAATCCAGCAGTCTTCTACCATCCCCTTAAGTTGTTATTCAAGGAATTACAATAATGGGGTATTCAAAGCTCAAAGGACGGCAACATACTAAAGTCTCTTGAACTCCAGGTATCTATGAACAGCTATGGTCATCAGGTAACCAGTCTGCTTGTTGGCCAAAATAGCTTTTGCCGGGCAGTCTTTGCTCTGTAACCATTTACTAAAAGTAACTATGTCTGTTACGCTTTCACGGCTAAACCGCTGAACAGATGCTAATGAAATTTGGCAAGGGGATACTTTGTTTCTTGAGAAAAGAAATACGACATACACGCGGGCGGAGACACGGGCAAAGGATGGTTACCGTGATTTCACTTACCCTGATCAATTTCCACGGAAGGTGTTTTTCTACAGAACACAGCTATCACAAAGGCTACATAGAAGGATCCAAAGAAGGCCAGAACCACACCGGCTGCTATCAAATATTCTTGATAGGATATCGTCTGAATTATTCTGAATCTAAAACAAAAACCAAACATATTTTTTGTTATGCTTATTTATTAAGACTGTTGGTGTAGAGCTAAGCGAGCCTGACTGCTAAACCAGACCCACGACGGGTTCGATTCCCACCCAGTACAACTATTTTACGATTATCTGTTCTGTGTCTGGGTCTAATTTTAGGGTTCCGTCTGTCTGTCCGTCCGTCTGTCTATTAAGACCATTTATCTCAGGAACGCGTGGAGGTATCAAGTTAAAGTTGAAACCATATATTCAATTCTAAAGTCAATTAAAGATTAACGTAAAAAAAAAACGCACATTTCAGTAGTATAAAAATGGTCGGACTTGATTGACAAATATTGTTTCCCGTGGTTGGAGTAGAACACAGAATCCTCCGCAAAGTATAATTTCGACAAAATCAAAAATAGCGCACTCCATTCAGTTGATAAACATACCTGAACTGCTTGACTCTGCCATCGTTGGTGGTCAGTTGCACCACTTTCTGCTCCCCCCACCCAAGGTACTGCGCCATTTTTGGGAGTGTGGTGTTCTTCGCTTTGTCCGTACAATCTTCGTCTGAAGTCTTCACTATGAAGACTATGTAGAACCCATGAGGGAAGGTATCTTGCTGGAAAGGAAACAGAGATCATGGGAGAGCCATAGTAACCAGAGATAATTTGCTAGGCGAATTTCGACCTTATTGATAGTCTTACATTAAAGACCAGTATATCTTGTACCGTCCTTGTATAGATTTTTGTACTACAACAGATTGTCATTTATACAGGACTACTAGCTTTGAATAGGTAATTTTACATATTTTTTTACTTTATTGCACATATTATTTAAAAAAAAATGCTTTCTGCTCTTCATTTATAAACAATAGAGACCACACCCCCCCCCCTGATTCTGAGGGGGGCGACCCAAATGGAGGTAACTCACTTATTACTCTTGAGTTGCAGGTGCGGGTAGTCACTTACCATCAAGTGACCCTTCTGCTAGTTTGCTCCCTATACCATAAAATGAAAATAAAAAAGTATTCCAAATACTGTATGCAGCCATGCGCCATATTTGTTGTTTTTTTTATGAAAGAACGCTGCACTAGGAACAGGGTACTTAACAAACATGAAACGGACACAAAGAACACCCAGACTCAGAACAGCAGTTCGTGGATCACACAAAGTGTTCTCCCATGTGGCGATCGAACCCACAACACTCAGCGCTGTAGGAAGTGGCGAGGTGACCGCTTAAACCACTACGCCATCCGTGCAGTCATTTCGCCGTCATCCGTACAGTTTAAAAAAGGGTACAATGAATCTTCGTCAGGTATTGATATATAGATACTCACAGTAAGCGTGATCCCTCCTCTTCTGGTCATAGTCAAATAATAACCATCATACAGTATATCTCGTTCATTATCGAATACTGGACACTGAAAAATAAAATAATTAACTTTAGAAAAAACTTAATAGCCATGGCATTTAATAGTCCATTGCTGGACATAGGCCTCTCCTTAGAAAGAAGGTTTTGGCCTACTATACTACGCTGACCAGACGGATAGGTTTAAGGTTTGTGTCAAGTTTTCCTTTTCTTTACAATGCTTGTCGTTCGTAGTTTGCTCCCTCAGTCCACTCTTACGACACCCACGGGATGAATAGATGTGGTGACACTCCGTAATCTTAATCCGTCACGTCTGTCTGTTCTATCGTTTTCTGGTTAACAACACGGCGTTCATCCATGGACCACCCGTCGACTACGAGTCGACACCGAATCGTGGTGGGGTCGAGTAACGAGTTATTTCCCTCTGTCTATCCTTTCGAGGATAAAAGATGTGAAGAAAAACGCGGTGAAAAAATTACTTACCGAAAAATTCTGTATAGAGACCACAGCACAAATATCATCATCTGATTCTATCATGACTATCACACTTTTAGGCCTCGAGAACCAACCGTACTGCTGCATCAAGTTACTCTGAACGAAATAATGGTCCAGCTTCTTCTGCTCCAGTTCACTCAACGCCGAATTACATATATACTTCCTTTTGGCATGTTGGTAAGACAAATCTAAGTTGTTTCGCTGGTCGAATGGATAAAAATAATACATCGGCTGGCTAGGTGAACTGGTCAGGTTTGTAGTGTGATTCAGTTTGATGAAGAAATCCTGGACGGTTTCGACTTTTATTGTGACTTGAATGGAGTCTGGAGAAGACGATGTCAGGTGGACTATTGGAGTGTTGAGCGCTGATACGTCTGGAAGGAACAGATGTGGTAATTTTGAGAGTTTTATGGCCATGGTATTTTAGATTGTATATACTATTGATTGAAATACGTAATAAGCCTTACTGAAAGTTTCTGAAATTTATCATCATTAAAAGAATTTGGCTGACTTCTCTTATGGCCGGTCGAATGCCCGACAGTTTACCTATTGGCGAATGTAATCATTTCCCGGCGCAATAAAGGAAGTGTGTAAAATTGGGTGAGGAAGAGGTGAAGGAGCTAGGGTAAGGCATGCCAGTAGTCTCAGTTTTTTAAATGCTAGTCAAGAGTCACAAGTGCCGCCCCCCGAATCAGGGGGTTTGGGCTCCGAGAACCAATGGGTTATAGGATAAAACTGCAAAAGCTCCAAGAGGCGAGGAACGGTCCTGGCATTGGAGAGCCTACTAAGATAGGTCACTTCTTTTCTCAGAAACATGCTTCAAAAACTTTCAATATAGCGTAAGGTTTGATAAATTAATTACACTTTAACAATGATATAGTATCAACATCATAATTAAAAAGTTTAGCGTGGCTAATTATAGAATTCATATAAATTGATATACTTACTATTATAGGGAATTGTAAATAGAACAAAAAAGTAGACACTAAGATGAAACTAAGAGTGCACACGGGACTAAATTATTATTCTCTTAAATACAGTTGATTATTATAACTCGTGAAATGCTATATGAATACATTATATCCCAGCATTTCCCATTTAATCCGTATAAGCAATATCCCTTTCTTTCCCATCTTACCAATTTTTCCATTTCATATTGAACACCCAATTTTCCCATATACTTTCTAAATTTCACAGTTGACGGCCTTGCCTATTAAGTAAGTGGAATTACTATAATCAGCAAATGTGGGCGTTCCTCTTCAGGGATAAAGGCTTGAGTTTATGGACTCAGACACTGGACACTCGTTAGTAGCCAATTATAATCACAAAACATTGTGTTTTATCCAAAGTGTAAACCAAAAGGTAGAATAGCATATTTATAATGTAAAATTAATATATAAATAATGTATAATTTATATATTTACGTATGAGAGGGCCACAGTAGACTCTAATCCGTTCCCCACTGACTAAGAGAGCGTGAACAGAAAGAAAATTCAAATTAAAAAAGGTGTATGCATGATACCCTTGCATTTGAATTTCAAATTTACACACAAAGCTTCAAAGTTTATATTGGCTAAATTGTGATCGCACACAAAATTGATAATTTAATATACAATAATACAATGTAATTCATAATTACTTGATTTTATGAAAATGAGAATAATTCAATAATTACTTTTGAATTTTGCACTGTCGTGATATGGCATAATAAAATTGTATTCACCTTGGGTGCTGTTTTTTATCTGTTCGAAGGTAAATGAATAAATGTATACTATTTATAAATTCCCCAATTAAAAAAAAAAATTGCTACTCGATGGAATTATTTATAAAACCAAAAACAATACTGTACTTGACGTAATTTTTTTTAACACTCTTTTATTAACTTCATTTGTAACTGTGTAAACAAATCTTAGTAGTCAATTTTAACCTACTCCTTCTGTGTGTGTAGCTCGGATGACAATACTATAGTTTGACATATTAAAGTTCTCATTAAGAAGCACAAATAGTAGCACTTTTAGCTCTTATGACTTCAAACCTTGAAATGCTTCTAAACTTAAAATTATGGACATAAGTAAATTAATGAATTTTCTGGGCTTCTGGGATCTACTCTAGACCTACCACTATTACTATTTAATCTGTCGAGGAACGGGTGTCATGCCCCTTCAACACAAAGGGAGGATCCTCCGACGGACAATGCGAGGTGATCATGCGTGGCGGGCCGCGGCCCAGCGGTTGATGTTGGGAAATTGTTTATATGCTAATCGGCGCGAGATCTATTTATATCGCGTTACAGAATCAACAGTTACTCCGTAGTTCGGTGTGTCTTCGTTAGATGGCGCTGTAGATTGTTTCTTCGTTTCACCGTGTATGGAAGTCGCCACAAATAATTATATTTACCTTAGAGAATTTAACCCATTTAAACTTACACACTCCTTTAGAGAGCTTAGACTATTCGACAATAGCCAGTTCCAGATACAACTAAACGACCTTGACCTGCTTGAACTATTGTTATTACTTCCCAATCTATCCGTATAGTAAAAGCAACGTTCCGTTTTTAATTACATTTTCTATATAACATATACCCAATTTTCCCATTTTCTATTTCCCAATGTTCCCAGTTGACGTTGGGTATTACGGCTGTGGAACCAAATTATAGTTAACATTTGTAAAAAACATGGTTGTTTGATATGCCTCTGCCTTTCAGAGATTAAAGCGTCAGTATATGTAATTTATGGAGCCACAGATAACAACAAATAATACCATCGAGTAACATATGACAGACACAAAAGAAAAGAAAACAAAAGGATTATTCCATGGTCTCTTACCACACGTATCTTCATCTTCGGAGTATAGATTATTGTGAGGACATAATGTCCTTGATATGTTGGTGAACTGTTCCAAACTGTCTGGAGTTTGCACCAGCATTGGTAACTGCCATGAAAAGACCCCTAGAACAAGAAGATTTTCAACAGAAAGAGTATGAAACAGTCGATTAACAGCTAAAGAGACAATACCTAGAGGGAGAGCCATGGTTTGTCACATATGGGCCACTTAGACCTGAGTATTTTCTTTTATGTTAGTGTTGGAAGACGAGCAGACGGGGCACCTGATGGAAAGTGACTATCGTCGCCCATGAACGTGTGCAACTCAGCACTCAAAGCCTTTTAGAGAGGAGTCTTCTCTTGAAGGTTTGAAGGTCGTATCGGTCCGGAAATACCGCCGACGATAATTTGTTCCACAGATTGGTTGTGCGAGGCAAAATTATCTCGAAAAGCGCACAGTACATACATATCATGGCCTCACTGAAAACCGTTATTAAGTATTTATTTTGTTTTCGTTAACATAACTTGCGTTCAAACCCCACACCTCTCACAATAACTCAAATGATGATTATTGCGGATGATTGCGGGATTATGAAAACTCCTGTAGGTCACTACCCTGCCGGGGTCCTATCAGCTGTGTCAGCATCGAACACTGTGAAAAACACACGATATGCCATACTGCGTCTAAAATAGATCTCGAGAACAGTTTTTAATAAGCCATTTGGACCTCTCTCTTAAAAACGCTGGCAACACCTTCGGGTAAAATAGACGAGGTGATATTCAAAAAGGCGCTTTTAGGCGTAAGAAATCGCAAGCTCACTAGCGTTAGCTTACGATTTCTTAGCTATCTTCGCTAATGAAATGGATTCATACATACCTTTCTGCTGTCTCGCAGTTATAAACAAAGGATACGTTCTGTTAGCAAAGTCGCTTGCGACTGTAACTCTCGCTGGAGTGTCATAGGCTTCTTCGTCCTGAAAAATAAGTTAGTTACATAACCAATTATTGAGAGAGCGGCTCTCCCGATTAATCTATAAACACCGGTGTCTATTAAGACTAGATGAGGGTGTTGAGGAACGAGTGTTATCTCTAACACAGTGGATTCAGTTTTTTGACCAGTACAGGTGCCTGCATGGTGGAATGGCGGAAAAAGTTGAAGTTAGGAAATTGTGTATTGCAATTGATTTATATTTTTTACCGAGAAAATGTTCATTGTGCGATATGGAAGCAATAGTACTAACTAGTACGGCATGTCGGCGGTAGATGGCGTGGAAATATGTTTTTTTTCTGTGCGTGAAAAATCACAGTTCCTGTTCGAATAGGTTGATTTTCAATTAGTTTTTTTTGTTTGAAAAGTGACTTAATGAAGATTGGTATTAGATATTCAAGAAAACCTATTCAGACGCTCGAAGATGACTGTTAAAAGTTTTGAGTCGGCGATATTATAATCGATTAATGTGTACTTGTGTAATAGGGTGTCGTTATAAATCCTATTAGTTATGACTATAAATATAGAGGAAACCACCAAAAACTGCCACCATGACTTTCTAGTGGTTTATGGCTTGAGAATTTACTTTTCTAGTCAATTGTGGCACGGCAGATTTCTACTCGAGTTATAAGTTAAAGGAAGTGATTCCACGCTGCAAGCACGTTCAAGTAAGACCGAAAGAGTTCCAGAAGTTAGGAAGCTAACTTAGTTCTACTTAAATCTAGAACTTACCCCAGCAAACTCGAGGATGTACTCCGTGCTCTTATTAACGTAAAACGTGTAGGACTGATTGTATTTGTACCTGAAACAAGAAAGGAGAATGATGTATAAGGGTGTTCAGCATCTTTCAGGCCGTCAGTACAATGCCTAATACTGCAAAGGATTTAGGCTTATTTCTTTTATGGTCGGCCGGCCAAACTTTGGTGTCAGGCAGGGTTGGAGGATCTAGTCGTTTTCTACTTACTTTCCCACTACTGCTACTAGGGAGTGAGGTGACCGGAGCCCAAGCCGGTGCCACCTTCCCCCATTCTGAGTGGAAAGGTCACTCATAGAGAAGGACACACTTGTATCTTTTACGTTGTAGTGTCCATGGCGCTAGACATTTACCATCGGGTGACTCATCACTTTGGCCCAGCATCGTAAGCTACGAGGGGGAAAACCTTTAGGAAAAAACAATCAGCACCACGGCTCAGAGATAGCGGGTTAGTCACTATCTTCCTTATGAGCGTAAGATAGCGGTACGTTTGAGTTTCACATATCGTCACGATAGACTGATTGTAGATAGATAACAAATGTACTTTATATTTTTCTAAACAAAAACTTATTATTTCCGTAATAAACCGGAATTTTGAACTGTATTCTCACCAGACCAATATGTTTTATTTCTAGAGAAGTTGTGCAAGGAGAAATATATAAATTCAAATTATCTTCTCACCAGAAGAGACCTCCGGGTTAGCATGCAGAGTCACTAACCACTAGACCAGGGATTCTCAAACTATTTTGGGCAAGAGACCCCTTTTCTAAAATAAACTGAAACCTCAGACCCCCATAGCCAATTCACTGCACGTTTATGGACTTGTTGAGATTTGTTAAAGTACAATAATGATACTTCCTACTAAAATATTAGTCATTCTTACGAGTATAACAATACAGTATCTTCAAAATTTCAAATGAGAACTGGTGTTAATTAATAGGGGTCGATTTTTAGACCTCGTCGACCCCCAAAATCATTTTTCGTTTATGTCGACCCCAAGGTGTCGATATCGGTTTCCCAGGGCACCACTTTGGGCATCCCTGCACTAGGACTACTGTGAACAGGGACATCATTCTTAATCCTTACATACTATAAAATAAAGTCGCTTTTTTTGTTGTACGCTTAGATCTTTTAAGCTAAGCAAAGGATTTTAATACGGTTTTCACCAATAGAGAGTGATTCAAGAGGAAGGTTTATATGTGTAATACATGCATATTATAGTAGAGAAAATCCAAGAATTTCAAAGATTTGTCGAAAAAAACCTTACGAGATGGACCAAAATATTATATTATTGTATATCTTAAAAACATCCACAAAAAAGTCTGTGATGGTACATGTCTATCTCCTAAGGATAACACACAGTAACAATTTTTATCTTTTAAATATTACAAAAAAAAAAGGGTTATTTACGAAGCCATCTATACTAATATTATAAAGCTGAAGAGTTTGTTTGTTTGTTTGTTTGAACGCGCTAATCTCAGGAACTACTGTTCCTTTCAGTGTTAGATAGCCCATTTGTCGAGGAAGGCTATAGGCTATATATCATCACGCTAAGACCAATAGGAGCGGAGCACCAATGAAGAATGTTTCGAAAACGGAGAAAATTTATTACTATTGAGAGACGCAGACGAAGTTGCGCAAGGTCAGCTAGTTTTAAATATTACAAAAAAAAATGGGTTATTTACGAAGCATTTTAAACAATACATTATTAATCCTTATCCAATTAAATACGATGTGCATTTTATGTAGATTAAAATTGCTCTTTCCAGCATATCATTAAAATGAATATTTTAGAAGATATTAGAGGTTTAAAATGCGGGGGCCCAACGACCGTCGAGCCGTACGTCCGTCCCGGGTGGCAGCGGTCGGTAGGATCGGAGCGGGCCTATAAGTATTGCATTTAAAAATGTTCTGTAGTATAGACCTATCATAATATTAGTGTAATTAATTACTCCTCACTGACACCACATTAGTACTATTAGTAGTATCTACATTGCACCCGTGCGAAGCCGGGGCGGATCGCTAGTTCTTATATTAATCGTCAATTCTTATATTGTTAATGCCTTCATTTTTCACTCTCAGGAATAGCATTTTTTCTTATGGGACCAAACGGGAAATATACCTTCTCAAATAAAAAAAAATGGTTTATTGTGGAAAGTGCAATTCTGTGCCTTAAGCAGACTGTCGGATACTATACCGATCGGAATACGTCGATATACGCCTGCTTCCTGGATCTCTCCAAGGCAATTGACTTGGTTTGTTAAAATGTCCTCGGGAGAAAGTTAGATAAATTCGATATTCCATATGAAATAATAGCAATATTAAAGTATTGGTATGCAAACCAAGTCAATTATGTCAAATGGCCGCCCATTTGACATAATTGGGTGTTTACGGATCCTTACGTACTTGAGTGTGGGGTTAGACAGGGTGGACATCCCCCATGTTATTTAATATATACATGAATGACCTGACAGAGGCGCTCAGCAGTACTCGGGTTGGTTGTTACGTAGACAACGTCTGCGTAAACAATCTGAGTTATGCGGACGACATGGTGCTGCTGAGTGCCTCTGTCAGTAGCATACGTCAGTTAGTAGCAATCTGCGAGTCATACGCTGTTAAACACGGTCTAAAATATAATCCCAGGAAGAATGAATACATGGTATATGAGGCCGGTGGTAAAAGTGCAGAGGTTGTACCAGGTATAACACTCCGGGTCCGGATGTCTTAATAACAGCTGTTCCCGGATCCCTACTATTACAGGCGCAGAGTGGCACATCGTGTGCTTTTAGTCGGTCCGAGTCCGACACACCACCCCGCCGCAAACCCCGGTGGGGTGACGGTCCGAGGGGATTTCCACACGTAAAAAAATAAAAAAAGTATAACACTGGAGAGACTGCCACACTGGAGAGGCTGCCTCTAACTAGGGTGCAGCAGTTTAAATACCTTGGTCATCTGCTTACTACCGACCTCAAAGATGATGCAGACATTGAGCGCGAACGTAGAGCGTTCTCCGTGAGAGTGAACATGCTGGCGCGCAGGTTTGCCAGATGATCACGACAAGTGAAAATCACGTTGTTCAGTGCAGTTCAACAATGCGTTCCGGGCATTGTTGGGGCTGCTTCGTTTCTGCAGCGCATTAGGAATGTTTGCCGAAGCCAGGGTGGATTGCTTTTACTCCACAATTCGAAAGCCATGTGGATCCTTGCTCTGCAGAGTACGGGAAAGCCCCAATCGAATTCCGGGAATGATAGCTGCTAGGCTGGATTCTACCTTTATGAACCACTGTTCCAAGGTTCATGTAGAGAAAAACTATAAGTAAGTTGTGTTTTTATATTTGATTTTAGTATTTTTATCTTTAGTATTTGTATTTTAGTCATTTTATCTTTGTTTTTTCTTTTTGTAAATGAGGAACAGTAACGGTCTAAGATACCCGAATAAAGATTATTATTATCATTATTAACAATGGAGTTCTGCGGTTACAGACATAAAAAGAAATTCAACGGCCTTGAGAATTTCCAACCTTTTCTTGAAAACGGTTAAAAACACATACAGTTCAATCACCTTCGAAGCTAAGAGACTGTTCATAACAATAACTAAAGCTGTTTTAACACATACATTGTACATTTACTGATAAACAACTGATATTTGTGTCAAGTCAATATTTTTCTACAGCTGGTGACTAAGTAATTAATTTATAGATATTATTTATCAATACAACATAATTAATGTTTACTATCCGTCTATAAAGAGGACATTGACAACTTATGTAGAGGTAAATAAATGTCTGGGAACGGAGAAGTGATTTGACGGAGTTTTATTGCAAAGGCTTTGCATGCTGCAAGAATGAGTAAAAAGCTAATGACTAGAAGAATTTATAAGCAAACTGTGAAACAGCGGAGCGGGCTACAAACTTGCAATCATGGCCAATGATGCTTTTGTTGTTTGCTTTTTGTTGTAACAACTGCTAAGAAAGAATTTTCGGAAATTTCAGTAAAACAAGAGATGAACCTTTGTTTGAAGAAATAATCATGTGAGGGAAGCAATGATACATAAGAATATTGTTCTAAAATATTTAAAGAGGTTCACCATCATCATCAATCATCATCAACAGCCTTTAATAGTCTACTGTTGGACATAGGCCTCTCCTTAGAAAGGAGGGTTTGGCCTATTATACCACGCTGGCCAGACGGGTTGGTATAGGGTTTGGACGGGTTGGTATAGGGAGGACGACCTCCACCCGCATTAGTTGGCCAGCCGCGAGGGGGCGGCGTCCGCGTGTGCCGGACGTCGCCTAAAGAGAGGAACATCTATATTGAGACGGAGCCCGCACCAGGAGCGGACTGGCGCTAGGAGGGGTCCGGATGTCTTAACAACAGCTGTTCCCGGATCCCTCCTGTTACAGGCGCAGAGTGGCACACCGTGTGGTTTTAGTCGGTCCGAGTCCGACACACCACCCCGCCGCAAACCCCGGAGGGGTGACGGTCCGAGGGGATTTCCACACGTTAAAAAAAAAAAAAAAAAAAAAAAGGGAGGACGACCTCCACTCGGACCCGATCCGCCGCCGGCGAACCGGGCGGCGGAGGCCCGCCTACCACAGCCTCATGCCGCCCTGAGTGTGGCCGCGGGTGGACGGGGTGGGTTTCCCCTCCACCCGCATTAGTTGGCCAGCCGCGAGGGGGCGGCGTCCGCGTGTGCCGGACGTCGCCTAAAGAGAGGAACATCCACATCGAGACGGAGCCCGCACCAGGAGCGGGCTGGCGCTAGGAGGGGTCCGGATGTCTTAACAACAGCTGTTCCCGGATCCCTCCTGTTACAGGCGCAGAGTGGCACACCGTGTGGTTTTAGTCGGTCCGAGTCCGACACACCACCCCGCCGCAAACCCCGGAGGGGTGACGGTCCGAGGGGATTTCCACACGTAAAAAAAAAAAAAAAAAAAGGGTTTGTCTCAAGTTTTCCTTCTCTTTGCTATGCTGTCGTCCTGTTATAGAGGTTAGCTATTTGTTATTGTAATTCTATAAAATATTAACATCTTTTATGGTGATCAGATGACTCAAGAGAAGGCCAGAGCTACCTCACTAAACAGACATACTATTTAACAAAAAGAAAATGTAATAATCAATTATATTTTGAGGAAGAAACATTATATTTATACTGCATGCACAACATATTTAATCTTTAACTGTACACACATCTATTAATGTATTTTAAAACAAAACATGAACATTTATCTTAATATACTTTTTTGTCGTAATTTGTGCACTGTGGGAATATACAGGAAGGCATTTCATGATTTTTTTCGAATTAATTAGTATGTGATTACTCTATCTATCCTCTTGTTTGTAGATAATATCATGGGTATTAACAGTTTTCTTTTCATTAAGTAATATTTTAGATTGCATACTACAGAGTCATAAACACTAATTATATTTTTAATTAATGTTTTGTAATAAATAACATTCAGGTTTTTTTGATCTTGTTAAATTAAATTATAAATATATTAAAGTGATATACTATTCAAAAAATAAAGATGATTTTTTTTAATTGATATTGTTTAATTATTCGTCATTCTATTTTTTTTAATAACGATTAGGTAGCCATCTAATGGTAATAATGACAAGGGCATCGATTTCAAAAGTTCTAATAACATTAGGATAAAATAAACCAATTCGTAGGTGATACTAAAAAAATTATACATAAATTTGCAAACATTAGCCTTGAGAGAATTTGTAGTTAAATAAAGAAATACTTACGTATTATTGTAGTAAAATATAATTTGATCTTTGTTTTGTTGTATATTTTGTTGCACACATAAATACGGAAACAATCCAATTAATAGAAGTCTTAGCCAATATATTACCGCCATCATTAATTTGTAGCGACATCAATTTATTAGTTTGGACACTATTATACAGCAATTGATCGATTACTCTGAATTTATCAATTTATTTAAAACACAATATGAAACCTTAGAAAATGTGAAAGTTACGTACATACACATTGTACAAAGGTACACCACAGAGTATACAAAACTACCATTTACCAATGAATCGATCATTCAAAACCTCAAAACATGTCAAATTGACACAAGATTGTAGCAAACTTATCCTCGTAAAGTTGACATAATTTTTTTTTGAGATCTTTATAGCCAAATTGAAATACTGACATATGTCGCTAATTTAATGCATTTTTTTATGGTATAAGGGGGCAAACGAGCAGACTGGTCACCTGATGGTAAGCAACTGCCGCCGCCCATGGCAGCGTTGCTGCCCTTTGTGTCACCCGGTTGAGTCAGCGGGAGGGGGGATTTGGGCTTCGTTAACCTCACTCACTCAGTGAAAGGCAACGAAAGAATTGCTTAACATCGATTTTCTGTGAGGCCGTAGTATCACACTAGTACAATTACAAACGTGTGTTCGAATACATTTTTAAAAGGGTAAGACTCTATTATGAGGGTACAAGTAAAAAACCGAGTACCGAGTACCGAACCGAGTAAAGTACCGAGTAAAAAACTGTCAATTGGCAGAACGGATTCGAGCACAAACCAAAAGCTCGAAACGCACTCGTTCGAAGCTTGTAAGTCGGTACATGAATTTTTGCTCCACTCGTGCTCGGCTCGTCTATCGTAAAAACGTTAAAAACCCAAAAAAAAGTAGGCATATATTTTAATAATAAAGAGATGAGTACAACATGATTCTGTTTCTATGGTATTTTATTTTACTTGGAGGTATTGAAATAGTGGTTTTTCAGTTCTAGACCGATGCACGAGAGCTATTCCAAGCCGTTCTTTTTAATTGACTGGATTTTTTGAATTTTATGATATTATTGTATCATTTGAAACAGCAACTGGCAATGGGAGGTTTAGTGTTCATCCTCATCAACAGCCTCTACTAGTCCACTGCTGGACATAGGCCTCTCCTTAGAAAGGAGGTTTTGGCCTACTATACCACGCTGGCCAGACGGGATGGTATGGGGTTTGTTTCAAGTTTTTCTTCTCTTTAGTGTTGTGTGCCAGTTCATGGCTTTAAATAATCCTAGTTCTGATGATCAGCCTGTCAGTATTAATTGACAAAAAAATATCAAATGTGAGGAGTATAAATACCTGGGTAACATCTTACACAGTTCAAGAGACCTAGAGCACAATATCCAATACCGTATAGCAGCTGCGTGGCTCAACGGACGGGAGGTAACGAATGTAACAACTGAAAAGAGAATGCCTGTAAAGAAGAACCTGAAAGGGCTTATTTATAAATTAATAATAAGCTCAGTTTTTAAATATATGGCAGTCAGACTTGGGTACCCACGCAGCTGCATGTACATGCCATTCATGTTGCAGAGATGAAAATGCTAAGTTGGGCGTGTGGCGTAACCAGGATGGATAAGATCCGAAACGAGTACATACGAGGAAACCTGAGGAATTGCGGAAAAACTGCTAGAGAGTAGGATAAGGTGGTATGGGCATGTCAAGAGGAGACCAACTAATAAGGTTGGCAACTAGACACTAAAACTATCCGTTCCCGGAGTACGCTCTAGAAGAAGACCTAAGACTACATGGACAGAAATGTTGCGGAGAGACATGAAGGCATGCAATGTTTCAGAAGACGACGTCAGGAACAAGGCGAAGAGTGGAAGAAGTATACGAGGAGGGTTGAACCCACCATCATGTGAGACGAATAATCGGGTAGAGAGAGATAAAAGGATATTTAAAATACTAAATGAATTCTATGCAACTTATATAAACATTATTATCTGGTGTCCAAAACGTAACGTATAACACAACAATATACAACAGCCTACTATAGTAATTAGTGTGACTGTTAGGAAACTTTTACTGGAATAAGTTGTGTTCACTTCACAAATTAATATTTTTAAACTTTGAACGCAGAAAGTGGTACTTAAATTTGAACGCATTCATAAAATCTCCAATGGGAAGCAGAGAAGCTACTTCGTTATTTAAAAAAAATAACCTGACCCAATAGGATTTGAGTATTCATATCACCGGTCAAATAGACGATTCTGATTGGAGGATCGATCTAACAGGTGCTATGCGTCATCCGCTGGCCTGCGTTGTCGTTGTTAGTACGTGAAACTTAGAACGCTTTGTAAAATATTGTATGAAAATAGTGTTTTTTGTGATATTGTTGTTTTTAAGTGTAACATATGTGTTAAGGAAGATGACCGAGTGGTATAGAATGAAAACGGGATTCATTAGCAAGAATGATTCTTCAGAATTGTCTGCCGAAACATCTTGCGAAATGTCAGACTCCTTTAATGCATTTTCGGACAATTTGAGTCCGATTCCACCTTCCATAGTGCCTAGAAAGTTGGATTTTACTAATATGGATGACGATGACCATCTTAAGGACGCTTCACAGCCTCCTGTTTCACATAGCCCTCCATACAAGCGGGTTAGAGCCCTAAGGTATGTATCTAGGTTTTTCTATGGAATTTCTTTGGGGGAAAGTACCACGCCTGACCTGTTCATGGTGTTCGGCCATCCTCGTTAGCGTCATATTTGATGTTTTGTCAATGAAACTTAATATTAAGTTTGAATGAATTCCACTTGTAATGTTCTTCAAATTATGTTTATGTGATTAATAGATTTTAACTTTGATATTACATCTTCCAGACTGAATCCTTCGTATTTAATAGTTAAGTAAATAAGAATATCTTATTTACAAGTAGCCTTATATACATTATTATACAGTACAGTACTGCAACAATTGTGCTTAATTCGATTTAATTTTTTTAATTCTTTAATTAAACTCATACAGTTTTATTTAGCAGACAAGAAACATTGAAAACCATATGCTTGCATAGAGCATTAAAAAGTTTTATTTATTCATGTTCTATTTTTTCTCTTGCAAATGAAATTTCTTGACTGTTTTTAATTTTTTGACTTGGTAATTACGTATAATAAATACTTTCATTGATAAATTTATTTCTATTGAGTATTCTGCCTGAAATACACAAGTTTTTTTTTATAAAAAGAGTTAGTAATAGTGTTTATTTTATAGTTTATAATTTAAAAATCATACTATGTAACAAAGTCTTGAAAAAACATATTCGTCACCAATCTGGTAGTGTTCTTGTCAGTTTAGGCAACACAAAGACATGTTGTGTTTTTTCAATCGTAAATATGATAATAACAAAACTTTATTACAAACTTTTGTGCATTTTTGACTTAAATAATATAAAGTTTTTCTATATGTTGCTTTGCTTGTTGAGCTGTATAACTTAGGCCTCTGCCAATTGCTAACAAAAAAAAACTTAAAATGAAAAACGTAACTTTCAAATGGTTGCAAGGGTTGCAAAACCTTTAGTAACCGCTATAATCTCTGGAACCCAGATATAATGATATATAGTGATCACAGATCTGAACTTAGGTGGGGTAGTTTTGCTGGGATCGATGTAAACTGAATCTTAAAAGAAGCATTTGGCTTTGATGATTTATGTTAAAGAATTTAACCTCCTTTCTTAGGAGATAATTATGTTTAGCAGTAGACTACTAAAGGCTGTTGATGATGATGATGAAACCTAGTATTTTTTCCAGGGAGTAAACCCATTTGAAGAATCACTGCTCAAGTACAGATAAATAGGCAAAGGAAAAACTGTTTAATTTTCATCTTCTGTGCTTTATCTTATACTAGCTGACCCACGCAACTTCGTCTGCGTCTCTCAATAGTAATAAATTTTCTCCGTTTTTTAAACATTCTTCATTGGTGTTCCGCTCCTATTGGTCTTAGCGTGATGATATATAGCCTATAGCCTTCCTCGATAAATGGGCTATCTAACACTGAAATAATTTTTCAAATCGGACCAGTAGTTCCTGAGATTAGCGCGTTCAAACAAATAAACAAACTCTTCAGCTTTATAATATTAGTATAGATAAAATCTAGGTTATACTAGTTAGATTAGCAGAGTGTTACCAGAACTCTGTTCTGTTATCACTCTGCTAATCAATTTCATATAGACTAGACACATACTGTAGACAAAAACTGTTTTCATTTGTAAGTTAGACATGGAAATTATTGCTCTCTTTTATTCACAATCATATGATGTAATGATTGGTTTTAGTCACTGTGATTACACCTGTGATAATAACAACAAGCCACAGTGGTATATTAGTCAGAGGTGTGACTGATCATTTATATCTCTAATCTTTCTTTATAAATAAAAAAAAAGATTTGTGCCACTTTTCAAATATGTACTTAAATATGGCACATCAAAGCAGATCATATTTAATTAATTTTTAAAGCTGTTTTTGCTATAAACTAAATATTGTAAATCATCATCATCAAATGAACAGTTTTTAATAGTCCACATTTGGACATAGGCCTCTCCTTAGAAAGGAATTGTTAGACTACCTTATCTTGCAGCCATTAGTGTTGTTATGTGTAATTTGCCCCTTAGTCAGCTCTTATAAAACCCACAGAGGGTGAAGTTGTGTCACTCCGTATTCTTAATCCGTCACCACATGGAATGTTCTTGCCAGTTGAGGCAACAACAATCACATTAATTACGAAATTACATTCCACAACTCCAAGTAAAATTAAAGAATAGAATTTTTAAAAAACAGGTTAAACATGCCATAAATGGTAAAATTATTATTATAATAAGTCTTTGGACATGTTAAGATTCAACTTGTTTGCAATTTTACATTTTTTATGTTTACCTTCTTTGAAACTCTTATTTCCACTGAACAATGGAACTTACCTGATAAAAACTAATCTTGTTCAAACATGTTTGTTATAAGTCAAAACATGTCCTTAGCCTAAGAAACAGGATTGGACAGGACCGAAATATAGAGCCCATCTACAATGAATCATACTGTTTTTGTTAAATACTTAAATTTTTTAGGAGTTTTGTTATTTACAAGTTTTTGATATTCATTTGAAGAGTTTTAGTTTGGTTATTGTCATGTGATTTGTCTAGATATTTTAGAGTAGATTTCTGAATTAATTTCAAAATCCATACTTCATAAATGTAAAAGTGAGTTTGTTTGTTATTTACACTTTAACGCCTAAACAACTAAACTAATTTTAAAAAAAAATTTCACCAATGGAAAGCTACATTATCAGCAAGTACCATAGGCTACTTTTTAATGTGATCATCGACAAACATGCGGTCGGAGCTGCGTGTTTGTCGATGTGTGTGAAAATTCAATAATATTTTACTCGCAAATTTTAATCATCATTTTACCCATTTTCCAAATTCATTGGTTCACTGCTCACTCTCTTTCTAGCCATATCGTCTTTTACACAGTCTATCCATCTTTTGTTATATTGTCCTCTACTCACTACGTTTTGCTCTTCTCTATGTATCACAAGTCCAAATTTCATTCAATTTATATATATATATATATAAATTATAATTGGGGTGGGCAGAATTATTAAATAAATAAATAAATATTTCCTTGAAAACCTTTCCTTCTTAAAATAAAGCATTACATAGAATTTATTTTGAAGCAGTTCTAATAACATCCTTTTTACACTTTTATAGATTATAAAATGCATGACTATATATAATTTTAATACATTGCAAGTATTAAAGTGTTTAGTAAATACAACATTTATACATATATACATAGTAAACATAATATATCTATATTCTTATGCAAAACATTTATTTGTTTATTTACATTATTCTTATTTATTTACAAAACTTTATGCACTCTTGTACATTGATGGACTTAATGCCCAGGGCATTTTCTTCCAGTCAACCTTAACCTTTGGGTGGTGGTGGTGGTAGAAATCGTGAGTGCTAGGTGCACATAAGTTGCATTACTAATCTACTGAAATATACACTACACAACACTACATACTTAGATCTATAAAGGAATATATACACAATATATATTTAGGTTTACCCTAATATAATAATGGACTTACTAAAAACATGTTATTTGGATCTCAATGAAGAGATAGATTATAGCCTGGTAACACATAGGTTACTTTTATAAAGGAAATATTATTGACAAATTCCACATCAACGAAAGCAAAGCGCCGGAAATTACGAGATTTCATTTATGTAAACACTAGATTTTGCCCGAGGCTTTGCCCGCCTGTATTAAGTCGGTTATCGCGGTAAAAATTAGCCTATGCTACTCGCTAATAATGAAGCTTTCCATTGGTGAAAGAATTTTTAAAATGGGTTCAGTGGTTTAGGCGTGAAAGCGTAACAAACAAACAAACTCACTTTCACATTTACGTATAAGTATCAGCGTCAGATGTCTTACCAGAAAAGGACGGCACGCTATCTGCTATCTCTGTTTACATAAATTTCTGCGCATATTCGTGGTGTCTATTTTAGTAGTTTAAATATTTCGCATCCCCACACAAGTCGTAGGTCGACCTCGTTAGAACCAGTCTAACTGGTTGCCGAATTATACGGTTCTGTATAGTAGATAGTGACTAAACACTGCTCATAATGTCGTTACAAGATTTTTAAGCTCGAAATTAAGCTTCTTCTTAAGATCTAGTCTTTTAAGTTACTGGTTAAAAAAAAATAACCTCATGTCACACAACCGTCTGATCCCAAACAAGGAAGAGCCTATGCAATGGTAACTAGACAGCATTTTGTAGATAAATTACACCCATACACAGAACAAATGGTAGTCCTCTTCACACAATTATTTGACTGCACGGATAAAGTAGGGGTACTGTAGGTATCGTAGGACCGCTTCCTACTGCGCTGAGTTTTGTGGGTTCGATCTCCGCATGGGATAACTTTGTCAACTTTGACCTTGATAAAAAGTAACGTATATGCTAAATCAAATTATAACCTATCTATATGCTAAATTATATTCAAATCCATTCAACCGTTCTGGCCTAATTGAGAAACAAACAACCTCACGAACTTTAGCGTTTATGTTTTTAATGGACTTAAAACTAAAGATGGCTACATTATTATAATATTAAACCACATATTGTTCAGTGTTGTGGTTTCGATCCCCACATGGGACAACGCTTTGTGTGATCCACAAATTATTGTTCTGAGTCTGGGTGTTCTTTGTGTCTGTTTCATGTATGTTTGTAAAGTTTCCCGCGACTCAAGATATATTCCTAGTGCAGGAGTTGTCTTTTAAAAAGAAAGATTTATCCTGGGTGGGAATTGAACCCACAACCTCTGATTCAGCAGTCAGGATCACTAACCACTAGCCCGACAGGCCCGTAAAATTGCAAAAGCATTTGGATACTGGGAATGAATGAGTTTAGTATTTTTTAACAAACTTCCAGAAGGATAAGTTTTATTTTTATTTTTAAAGGAATTTTTATCATTATCAACAGCCTGTAACAGTGCACTGCTGGACATAAACCTCTCTCCTTAGAAAGGAGGTTTTGGCTTACAATTTTATTTCGGTAAATTGTTATCCGTTGACCGTTGAACTCCAGTGCCTCGGAGAACATGTTAAGCCCTCGGTCCCGGTTCCCATACGAACATCTGTGGCAGTCAGACAACAGTCTATCTACAGAACTTCGATATCTCCTTGTACTTGGGTTGTGGAGGTCTTATGGAAGTCGCTCCGCGTTCATCGAAGTTCATCCGTATCGTAGTAACCTTAAACCGCAATTTAAAGGCTTTGAGGAAGGTATACGTCGACTGAAAGGTCTCCATCTGCCCTGATAGTTGACAATGTAACATGCTCATTATCCTCCCGTATAAAGGGCAAGAGAGTAGAGTAGTTTTGGGGTTAGGGTTGTATTTTTTGGAATGAAACTGATTTCTGTTTTTTCCGATACAAAATGTATGGGAAATCTTGAAGCTTTAGAGCCGAATATTCTGCTTGCCGTTTTGTTGATTACCTTTCGTGTACGATATCTTATTGGTTCAATAACTTTACGACCTCTCTTAATCCACGCCTGATATAAAAGCTGTTATAAAACAGTCACCAAGACTCCCTTACCTAAAAGTAAAACGGATTAAACAAAAAAGTTTAACGCATCATCTTACTAATAATATCTATTTTAACAGCCAAAAAACTATATTTTAACTCACAAAGACGTGTATTATGAATCATTCAAAAGAATTTCGGTTGAAAAATCAGTTAAAGTACAGTTGCCAGAAACATATGATCGCGAACAGCTGACATCTGCCCGGCAAAAAAAACGCCTACGCTACACCCACTTAATGTTGAAATACACCTTAGTTAAATAAGTTTAAAGTTCTTAATCCAACGTCAGTACAATTTTACCCACAACACTTACTTGCTAAATACGATTTTATAGCAATCCAGTTAAGAATTAAAATTGCGTGGTATTATTGTCGCTATTGATTTGGGAATAATCGAGTTTAGCTATGAGACAATGCTTTTTTGTGAGTTAGGAAGTAAATAGTTGATATTACGCAAAATTAAATGCCATAACTTGTTATTTCTCACTTACGCCTACATAATAATAATTTAATTTACGTCTTGCATAAGACTTAAACTCACGAGTACATCATCAACAGCTTTTAATAGTCCACTGCTGGACATAAGCCTCTCCTTAGAAAGGAGGTTTTGGCCTACTATATATATGTATAGGGTTTGTGTCAAGTTTTTCTTCTCTCTGCAGTGCTGTTGTTCTGCGTAGTTTTTTCCCTTATTCGGCTCTTACGAAACACACGGGATGAATAGGGGTGGTGATACTCTGTATTCTTAATCCGTCACCACACGAGCACATACTGTTAAATAATTTGATCATGTTATCATAGCAAACACACAATAAAAAGGCCCATGTCCAGCAGTGGACTGCGATAGGGTGATGATGATGGTGATAGGAAACTAACTCTAGAGTCTGTGGTATTTTTCAGAACCAGTCTTAAAAAATTCGACACTAACAAACAGACAAAAGTACTTGTTTCCTTATAACACACACTTGTGTAATATCGAACACCTGAGGGATGTTTCTTGAGAGAAAAAAAGCATAGGGGTCGTAAATCTTTAAGGGTTCTTTTGTTACCGAAGGGAAGGTGCAAACCTTGAATAATAATTTTATATATACCTATTATTATTTTTGTCTTGGGTGTATTTTTATTGTATCAGTGGAGTTTTACATCCGGACGCGTGATCTTGACTATTATCGTGGGTACGATGCCCGTTCAGAGCAAATGCTTTTGGGAATCCATTGTGCAAGTTATGTACATTTTTTATTCATCATCACATCAACAGCCTTTAATGGTCTACTGCTGAACATAGGGCTCTCCTTAGAAAGGAGGTGTTGGCCTACTATACCACGCTGGCCAGACGGGTTGGTATAGGTTTTGTGTCAAGTTTTCCTTCTCTCTGCAGGGCTGTCGTCCTGAGTGGTTTGCTCCCTTAGTCGCCTCTTACGACACCCACGGGATGAATAGTGGTGGTGACACTCTGTATTCTTAATCCGTCACCACACTTACCATTTTTGATTAAAAGTACGTAATTTGACAAGAGTTAGCTATGACGTCACGTCTTAGTATTTCATACAAGAATGAACGTCTGTCGTTTTGAAGTTTAATATATTTATATATACTGATTTGATTTGACAGTCATCTGTACTATTATTTGTGGTCATTTTTAAGAAACATGAATGAAGAAACATTTCATAGACGAAATGTAGAGAGGGAACATTTTTATACTACATGCACATATATAACGGCTAAATCGAAATACTGACATCATAATGTCTTGACCTCTCATGGTACGTAAGTCGTATACAACGACAGTTCAAGTTATACTGGCCTATGAAATAAACCAAATATTGAATTATTTTTGAAATTCCAACACCAGGCGATCTCTATTAATAATTTAATGTCAATATTTATATTCTTTACAGACTCTTCGACAGTCCACACACCCCAAAGACGTTGTTAGAGAAATGTTCAACCCCCTCCCACCATCCGGCGAGATCCAGACTATTTCCACCCAAATTAAATGCACAGTCGGGTAAGTTTTATTACATAATCACCATTAATATCTTACAATTTTCATGGTAGAAGGGACAAACGAACAGACGGGTCACCTGATAGTAAGTGACTATCGGCGCCCATGGACCGTCGCAACTCAAGAGACACCAGTACGTTGTCGGCTCCCATTAAAGTAGAGGGCAGTTGAAGGTCAACTACAAACACAAGTTGAAGGTCATCTACAAGCTCGCGCCCAGGGTCTGTCGAGGTACCAGGGCTTTTCTTCCTAGGGTACGACCTGGTTCCCCGGCTCCTGGTCCGCCGGCTCGAGTCCGACATAACCACTGGTGGGTGTTATCCAAGAGGATTTTCGTACAGAAAAAAAAGGAGTTGTAGACCTCCTCGGAGTACAAATGCAACGAAAAAATTCCTCAACTTCGGTTTTCTGTGAGGCATTCGTATCACTTCGGTCAGGCTCTTTTCCCCCACCCGAATTACGTGGATAGAGGTTCATTAAGCTCACTCACTTATTAAGTTAAAAGTATATGTTTGCGGGATATAATGCGCTCACGATAGGTATTTATGTTCTGAGGCCCTAGTGCGAGTTTATTTCACATCTATTCGATCGTCACGGTGACCGCGTTCGGCTCTGCGATTGGCCCGCACTTGAATCTCCACCAATCACAACGCTAAACGCGCTCGCTGTCGAGAGCGAGTTGATGTGAAAATAAAACTTACACACTCTGGTCGAAACGTCATTTCAGAGGTATGTACTTAATACCTATTGTGAGCGCCTTAATTCTCCTAAATATTTTTTATATTTTATGGAATGTGATAGATTAAAACCTAAAATATTTTTTGTGTATGTCATACAGGCATGCCATCAGGTTCCAGCCACCATCTACATCCACCATCTGGGGATGACGACAGCGCGCTCGGAAGCCTCCCACCAGACGAGTTCGATGAATCGCGCCTGGTCGTCAAGAGACCAGTCGCTAACATTAATCCATTCACACCTGATGGTAAGCTTTCAATTTCAATTTTATTTCGAAGTGGAAAAAATATGTAAGGGAACGTACCAGTACTATGTGACCTATGTTTTAGATTTTTAACCCCCCCGTCGATGACCGTTCTGAAAACAAAAAAGGTCTTAGTGTATAATTTGGGTACTATATGTATACACTAAGACTCCCTCCTTTTGTTTTCACACAGTAACTTATAAATATGGTTTTAAATCTTTTTATTTTTAAGAAAAAAAAATTGTCTTTATTAATACAGCGGACGCCGTATTGGAATATAGCTCGAAAAAGCGCCAATAATCCTTAGAGGATATTGACTACGTGACGAAAAGTAGTACCTCCAGATCTAAGTGCTATATAATAAATAAATATTTTTGATATCTGACACACAACGCCATCTAGTTTCAAACTAAACAGACCTTGTACTATGAAAGTTAGATTGACTGATAGAATACTTATATACTTTCTTTGTAAATACATACATATTATACATAGAAAACACCCAATCTCCGAAACAACTTATTTACACATCATACAAACATTTGGTCCGGCGCAGAGTAGTCGCATACGATGAACCTACACTACCGAGCAGTCATATGCGGTCTATGTATGTGTAGGGTTATTATATTAATTACTAGCTGAGACCCGCGGTGTTACCCGCGTTTGTTGTTATAACCGCGGGCAACGCCGCGGGGCGAAGCTAGTCTAAAAAAAGTAGCCTAAGTTACTCCTTATGTCATCAGCTATCTGCCAGTGAAAGTCCCGTCGAAATCGGTCCAGCGGTTCCAGAGATCACCCTGAACAAACAGACAGACAGACAAAAAATTGTAAAAAAATGTTATTTTGGCATATTTACCGTGTAAACATACATAATATGTATTTAGTAAAAAGCGGTTATTTTAATATTACAAACAGACACGCCAATTTTATTAATTTGTATAGATTTTTTTGACAATCTTGTTTTGTTTTCAGGCCAAGCTTTGAACAAGAAGAAGCGAGCGCTGTCTAAAACACCAACTTGGGGTGATCCTACACCGGAACAACCTGCTAAAAGGTTGAGGGTAAGCTTGCCTACATTTATTGCTAAGTGTATTTACATAGGAGGTAGATAATTATAACTCACACATGGCAGTCTGATCCCATACTTGGCAAAGCCTGTACTTTGGTCACCAGACTGCTGATAAACATACTTAAATATTAGCAAATACATACATATTATAGATAAATTACACCCAGCCACAAAACAAATGAGCATACTCATCACACAATTATTTTGCCGAGGTGGGAATTGAACCCACGACCGGCTCAAGGAGCAGTCAGGGTCGCAACGTAGAATTACGTGTTGATTTATCATAGAGAAAACATGTTTTCTGTTAAATCTGATTGCCATCTGTAGTCATACATAATTGTTTAATTATATTTTTCAATTTATTTTATAGTCGGCCAAAACCTAAGGAGAGGTCTATGTCTAGCATCTATGGCTAATTCTTATCATAATATCGACCTCTGAGCGACCACATCTTATCTGATTTATTTTTTGTTTCATTATTATTAGGAGTCCAACATATCCCGGTATAATGTGGAGTTCGTGGAGCTCGGTGATCTGGGCCGCGGCTCGTTCGGTCGCGTGACGAAGTGCGTGAACAAGTTGGATGGGTGCGTGTACGCGCTGAAGCGCTCGCTCCGGCCCGTGGCGGGCTCGTACGCGGAGCGCGCCGCACTCACCGAGGTGTACGCTCACGCCGCGCTCGGGAAACATCCACATGTTGTCAGGTAACGTCTATCTGTGGTCTAACAGTATAATATATAAAACATAAACGCTAAAGTTCGTGAGGTTGTTTGTTAAAATTTGGCACATATATAGATTCGTTTTGATTAGCACGTAGGTTACTTTTTGTTAAGGTAAAAGTTATCAAAATCGTCAGTAAAATAAATCCGCTGTCAAAAGCTAGTTGTAAATACGAATGTTTGTTGGTACACTTACGGAGTACAGAAACAGACATGGGACATGGTGCCTTTTATGCATAAAAAAGATAATGTGCTTGAGAGGGAATTACTCAACGCAAGACACGCGACTCCTAATTTTCTATAATACGATATAATCTAGTAATTTATTATAAATACTAAAAGGAATTCAAAACCAATACACTCTCTCTGAAGTTAAAGCAAGTATTTGATCTCAGTGATCTCACTCACTTACCTTAATACCCTTTTTAGGTACTACTCAGCATGGGCTGAGGATGACCATATGATCATTCAGAACGAATACTGTGACGGTGGCTCCCTACAACAGAAGATGGAAGATGGACCTCTACAGGAGAGTGAAATTCTCTTACTTCTGGCGCACATAGCTGATGGACTAGCGTGAGTTATGAATCAAATCAAATTAAATGTATTTTTTGCGAATGTGGGTATATATAATGAGGTGTTAATTAAGAGTATAGCAATGAGCAGCCACATTCTACCTCTACCTTGAATATTACCTATTCCCACAGCCATTCAAATAACAAAGGAAGCGTGTGCGTGCAATAATACTCTGTAATTCAAAGTTATTTTAAAAATAATTTAAACTTTTAATGTAAATTAATGTATTAATCTTAGCTAGAGGGGTTAACAAGAACAAGGTGCATTCTTTATCCCTTAGTTTTCAACCCTTAGCAATGGACTATTGGGTACAAAGAATTAATTAAAATGTTCATGAACACAAAAGAGTCAAATTGAGAACCACCGCCTTTTTAAAGTTTGTTAAAAACTTAACTATATCTTCTGCTCTTCTGCCAACAGTTACATCCACTCCCTCCAACTTGTTCACATGGATGTGAAGCCCGGGAACATATTCATCTGCAGTGGTGAGGGGGAGCCTTTCCATGACTCTGATGATGGCTATGACGATGATGAGCTTCAATATCATCATAAGTATAAGATCGGTGAGTAACTTAACCATAAAATAAAATAATAATTTTTCGGCCACTCAACGCCATCTAGTTTCAAACTAAGCAGACCTTGTACTATGAAAGCTAGATTGACTGACACAATACTTATATACTTTTTTTTTGTAAATACATACACATTATACATAGAGAACACCCAAACTGTGAAACAAATATTTGCAGGTCAAACAAACATTTGATTCGTCCCGGGAATCGATCCCGAGACCTCAGCACAGCAGTTGCATACGCTACAGTCAGTCAAATGTTGTTCATTGGCTGACTTATTGTGACTAATTCTTTCTCCTAAATGTATATAATAGCACAGAAATATTATAAGTTAAAAAAAGTAAAGAAAGAAAAAGATAAAACTGGTACCAGAGAATCACTTCTAAATTATTTTAATAAAAAACGACTCTTGCTCTGTAATAATAAATACAAGTCATGTTAAAATTTCTTAAGACCAGAATGAGAAACTATTTTATGCTATATAAATAATAATAATAATAATAATATTCTACCACATACACACAACGCCATCTAGTCCCAAACTAAGCAGAGCTTGTACTATGGGTACTAGACAACTGATATAAATACATATATACTTTTTTTTTTTGTAAATACATACACATTATACATAGAAACACCCAGACCAAATCAAACATATATATATGTAATACAAACATATAAATAAATATATATATATAGATAGTTTACAGACAACATTAATTGTTTCCAGGTGACCTGGGCCACGTGACCTGTATATCATCACCTTCTGTGGAAGAGGGCGACTGTCGGTACCTACCCAAGGAGGTGCTCCAAGAAGATTTCACACACCTCACTAAAGCCGACATATTTGCCTTTGGTAAGTTTCCATATAATATATAACAAAAAGGAAGAATTTTAAAGTAGGGTGAAGGAATGAGTGTCATACCTTTCCAACCAACGATCAAGTCTTGAGATCCAACCGGGGTCCATTGGCGTGAGAACTTTTCATATCGCAATATAGTATTAACAGTTACTTCGCAGTTCGGTGCGCTTTCGTTAGATTTCACTGAAGTAGGTTTTTGTTTCGATACATGTGGAAGTCGATACAGCAGGAAAAATCAAATTTTAATAAAATATGTAAATGTCCCTGTCCTAGTGGTGTCTATCCAATAGAAGGATAGAAATATGGGAATACAACCCGGGCCTTTTCTTTACCTTTTACAGTATTAGTTCTGTTTCTCCATCTAAGTGCATCTCTCTTACCTTAGCTATCGTGTTCTCTTTGTTTCTTAACTCTAATTTTCTTTCCATTTTTCCATCTGGATTCAATTATTATTCCCGATGAAAGATAGCCAGCCTAACATAAAATAAACCAACCAAAAATCTTTAACTTCTGTACGTTCACAATTTTTAAACTAAATTAAATTTCATGTGAATTATAGTCATTTTTTTTCTTTTATGCATACATTTTCGGACGCATACAGACATGTCATCAATGTTCTTGGTATTAAATAAATCCGCTTTTATTTACACAATCTCTCTCTTACTAGACATTAACATAATCTATCAATTTTCGTAATACCGTTGCAAAAAGTTTTTTGTATTAAATATTACGATTTTTTCTGGTCAAAAGACTAAAACAGATACACTTTGATCTTAGCCAAAAGGCCGAGAAGAGATTAGTGAAAGGAAGTAAAAAGTAAGACACCACCTTATTATGATACACTTTATATATAAAATAGCTTCCCAACTTTACTTGTGTGATGTAGGATGTTTATGAATTGCAGACTTTCTAATGGTCATTAATTGTGCTGCAGGTTTAACAATATTCGAGGCAGCTGGTGGAGGTCCTCTGCCTAAGAACGGTCAAGAATGGCAGGACATCAGGGAAGGAAAACTTCCCGACTTGCCCAATCTTTCCAGGGAGTTAAATCAATTGATTAAGGTAAGTTATAACTGTTTTTCTCTATCTGAGGTCTGTGACTTTATTTCATATCTATTCGATCGTCACGGTGACCGCGTTTGGCGCTGCGATTGGTCCGAACTGAACTCTTCACCAAACATAAGTAATCACAACGCCGTACGCGTGAGTGATTCCCACTTCTTGCTCACGATATAGGAATCGGAATCGCATTGACTGAAATTACACTGTTTCCTTCCATATGGGTTTATTGCATGGGATTAGGGTATACCCTGGAAATGAACTTCCCGAGAGTCTATCTGAAATGTATTCATAAAACTGATTTTTGGCACTTTTTGTTTGTAATAAATTATGGAAGTTAATTTTAATTTGTTTTAATCGAAATAAAACTTTGAATGCATATGTAGTGCAAATAATAAGTTTAAAATATGACATTATCGAGTTAATTTTGGGATGAAACTTGTAGATCTCTGTAACAGTTACTAGTAGGTACTTCGAGTTGTGTTCGTATGATTCGGTTTTGACCGATCATGCAAATGATCGGTAAAGATCAACGATGATCGAAACCGGGTTCGTCGCCTGAAGAGAAAAGGTGGTTTAATAGTTGATACGTGGAGACCTTCATCTTCGATTAAGAGGGGTTCTTATTACCTAGTAAAATAGTAGTATCTGCAATTTTTAGTGTGAAATATAAAGCGTTTGTATTGTACGTGTATAGAAAATGGTGGACCCGGAGCCGCAGGTCCGTCCGTCGGCGGCGCGGCTGCGGCGCCACCCGCTGCTGCACCCGGCCGGGAACAAGTCCAAGGCTCAGCTGCGCCGCGAGCTCGCCGCCGCCAACCAGAAGAACGAGCTGCTCGCGCGCAAGCTGCAGGAGGCCGCCAGGTACAACTGCTGACTGTTGTGGGTTCGGTGGGTGGAACATGGAACAACACTTTCCATGATGCACATTGTTGTTCTGGGTGTTCCTTGTGTCTGTTTAATTTGTTTGTAAAATCCCTCGTGCAGAATATATTCCTAGTACGGGAGTTCTTTTACACGAATTAATTATTATAAACATTTTGTACTGAAAAGATCGTAGCCACTATAAACCTTAGCGTAGCCCTTAAAGTTAAGCTATCCAATACAAACTGTTTATTTTAAACTCAACCATATTAACAAATAAAACGTCAATATGAAAAACTTTTCAAAACAACAATAAAAAATATTCCATTTGAGTGACACCAAAATCAAATTGTGTGGACAAAAAAGGTTAAGGAATAGCGCATCTTGGATAGAAAATGGAACTGAGACTTCAGCAGCTTGAAGAAGCATGGATCGAATACTAATATTTCCCATATTAATATCCGTGACAGGGACACAAAATATAAAATACTAGTTATGCCCTGCTATGCTTCACTGTGGCACATTATAGTTGCATCGATAAGAAATGATTAACAAAACTGACGCGAAAAATAGATAAAACAATCTTTGAAGCGGGTTGAAAATTGTATCAAAATTTAACCTCAATCGGTACAGAAGTTTTTAAGTTTTTGAAGTGTGTATACAAACCAACTGAACATTTTATATATTTGAATTAATTTTTCTTCCCCAGGTGCATAAAATCCCTAACACCGAACTTGGTGGCCAATCAAGAATCGGCGAAATTTCGCACGAGATCAGCCAAAAGGTTACAGAAACCAAGAATGGACATCAACATCGCTGATATGATCCAATCCGTGACGTCACCTATCAGAATAGATCGCGCCATGCACAGAAGAATAAAGAAAGTATAAGAGTTATTCGCTGGTTTGTATAAAACTATATAAATAAACTATGTTCAGGTAGTTTCAGACGCTCTGTGATGCCATTTTGTGTAACGCTTCAGTTAACATTGTACTAAAACTTACTCGTTAAAGCAATAGAGATCTTAACTTGTAGGGAATTAAGTACAAATTAGCTTGTACCAATTTAAAAATATTTGAATTTGTTTGTTCGGATGGCAACCTTAGGCACAGGGTTGCCACTTCATAATTGTTTTATATTACTTTTTTATAAATTGGCAATAGTAGGTTCTGCATCAACTTGTGGAGCCATCTGTTACATCTTAAATTTACTTGTTGACATTATTTTCTGCAATTTTATCATGTTCATGTGCCATCGGTACAGCATTCTCACGATTTCGGTGACTTTCTTAAAAATATTCTTCTACAGATGGTTGTTTTTCTATAGTAAGTTCGTGTTAAGTAAATAGTGACGCATCGATTATGTGTCCAAGGTTCCACCAAATTTTCGTTTCGTACGAAAGCTTGGAATCTGATTGATCAGAATGTGGGGCTTGACAGTGTCAAAGTTGGTTAACAATGCCTTAGAGAAACCACTCATACTTACAAGTATTCAAAGGCATTAATACCACTTGCCATCATCATCATCCACAGCCTTTACTAGTCCACTGCTGGACATAGGCCTCTCCATAGAAAGGTTTTGGCCTACTATACCATGCTGGCCAGCCATCACAGTGGTAGAAACTCAATAAAGCAAATTGGTACCAAATAACGTCTGTTATTACTTGAATAAAATATTATATTACACACATATGAATCTAGAGTATATTAAATAGAACTGGTATTGCCATATAATACTGTATTTTTTACTATATCAAGTATAAAGGGTTCAACTATCAATTAATTATAATCTTCTGTGCTTGAAGATTTAATGCTCAGATGTAAGTAATATCGATTGTCCTGAAATATGTAAATCTTCGAGAAAGAAATTGCATAAAATTGCTAAATTTTGCGATCACTTGCAATTTGCGGTTAATCTTTAGTTTACTGACAATTCATTATAGCAACAATTCGAAAATAATCTTGGACTTGCTACACACATTGCTCGACTTTTGTTGATAAAATATTCCCATTCAATTTAATTAGTCTCGAAAATTGATAAATCAATTACTGTCAGTAGTAGAATAAAAGCACGAGGGTAGTCCATAAAAATGTCAGATTCTAGAAATGTCAGATGACCGATATTGTCAGATGCGTGTGACTGTCAGATTTTATAGGCGTCAGATTCTTTTAATGTCAGAATTAAGCAAAATTAAAACTGAATAATCGTACTATTATTGTTCTCTCAGAGAATTTAGTCTTAAGATTCTTTTAATTTTAGTAATTTTTTTGGTTGATTCTTCGTTTTTATATTTCCGGGTGATTTTCACCAACAGTCTTAAAGAAAATAAACCGGAAATCCTTGTTTTAACGTCACCTACTTTTGTCTCAGTTACGAACAATAAATTATATTTCTTCAAAATGACGCAAAAAAATTGAAATTAAAAAAAAACGAATATTCATCCTATTATGATTTTTAATCCTAAGCATACATTTACTTTACCAATTACTATTAATTAGCATTTTAATTAATTATAATTTCATTCCATTCTTATCATTCTATATACAAGGTGTTACAGAAAGCATTAAATGCTTTAAGAAGCACCATGTATACAAATTATTGCAACAAGCAAGTCTTACAGTAGTTGTATATCAGGTGCATAACCGACATAACCACCTCTCCCCCATTATCCATAGCCTTAATTTGTCCTCTGTTGGACATAGGCCTCTCCTTTGAAAGGACGTTTTCGCCTATTATGCCACGCTACCCAGACAACAAGAGAAGGAAAACTTGACACAAACTCTTTGTGTCAAAATTTTCTTCTCTTTGCAGTGCTGTTTGTTGCTGTGTGCAGTTTGTCCTGTGTAGTTTGCTCCCTTAGTCGGCTATTACGACACCCACGGGATGAATTTGGGTGGTGGGTGGTATCCTAGGGGATTTCCGCACAGAAAAAAAAAGAAAAACGGTGTAACAGCTCTCCTATCAGCCAACTTTAACAGCGCGCGCTCATTGATCAAATAAAATAGCGCGCTCTTTCCCGACCTCCGGTTACATACTTCCGTCCCTCTTCACGAAATCAGTCCCATACAGAACAGTGAAAGGAAAAAGTGTTACAAAAATCATTTTGAACTAATTTTACGTTATAATAGAACTGTAAAAAAGAGTAAAACTATTTCTCATTACCCGTATATTTAAATTGTGTTATTATAAGAATAAGTTATTTTTGTCTTTATTTTATCTTTGGTAGCTTCTGGCAGGTAACCATTTAAAATAATTGACTTTCTGAAAATCTTACAATTCGGACAAGTGTGACAGTTGCAAAATCTGTCAATTTTAGCAAATTTGACACTTCTAAAATCTGTCAATTTTAGCAAATTTGACACATAAAATCTGACAAATTGGGTGTATCTGACATTTCCAACATCTGACATTTGTCGGTTAAACCAAACTCATTATTTTTAAATATTTGAGAATAGTCAGTCTAATGTTAAACACAAATTGTAATTTCCCAAAAAGATTCGCATTTTATATTCATCTTTACTAGTTAAGAATATAATAAAATAAGTGCCTTTATAATTATATGTGATTTTAAGTGCTTTCCTTAACGAATTTAAATGCTTGTATATTAATTAATTATATCGTTAAATGGTATCTTCCCTCTTTACTGGTTTGTGATATAAATTTCAGTAAAAAAATTAGATTTAAGATTTTTAAGGCATGGTTATATTAAAAAATTGATTACTTCAGTTAACTAGAGAAGAAAAGAAAAAAATTCACTCATATGTCATATTAATTTCTTTCCATAAAGTGTCACAACTAAAAACAAAAAAGTAGGCTGTTGTCAATGTCATGGCGAGCTTTTTTTACCCTAAATTGCTTTATTGTCATTTTGATATTAGAGTAATTTTTTGGAATGAATTTTACAAGTTATAATAATAGTATAGATAGTACAATAATAGACTAAAATATTCACCACAAAAAGTGGATACATGACCTTATAAAGAGTTCAGACCTTCGGTGGACTCGGACAACTTCCGACGGCTCTTTTAGGAAGTCTTTTAGGGAGGAGTCTACCTATGATTTAAATAATGACTAGCTATGGTCCGCGGCTGTAAATTTTTCTTATTTCGTGTTTCTAACTTTGAAAATGACGAGCTTCCATACAACCGTTCATTCCTTATTTAACCCCTTAGGGTTTAAATTAAAAAAAAAAACCCTTTCTTAATTAGTACCTACAACATAAAAAGCATCAGCCGCCAACATGTCAATAGCCCCAGTGGTCTAGGCTCTGCTCTGCTCTGCGAGAAATTTTATATTTATAGATAGTAGGCAACTACCCCATAGTATAAATTACCAATTAAACCACTAAGTATGTAAGTATGTATAGAAAAAATCTCCATATCAAATAACCATGCCAATTTAGTGAGCAGCTTTTTATTACTACATATAAATAATAACAGAAAGGTAAATATAATATTTATTTAAAGAGATTAAGTGTTAAATTGTATAGGTGTATATTAATTAATTGTTAAGCCAATAACCAGTGAATTATATGAGTTTTGTGCTCCAATACCCCAGATGAACTACAAGCATATTTTTAATATTAGAATTGAAATTAATGTTAGCGGTATCACATTTAAGATCAGTTGGACCTATCCAAATACATACAAGTGAAATTTAGTAAATACATGTAAATTTGTATGAAAGTATTCAAAATGCACTTTCTGTAGACCTCGTAAAGATGAAAGTGATGTGACAATTTTGACTAAACAATATATTTTCATGGTATATTTCTACCTACCCCCATAAAAACAGTTGCTAAATAAACTGATAATATCTATGTCCCATAGTAACCGAACAACTTAAAGAATCTTAGATATAAATATTTAATTAATTATTGCAATCAAGATTTATACAGCGTTTTCACAAAACGTTTTCGGAAAAGTGAACCTTCTGATGTTCTCAATAGTTTCAAAGTTTACTGCTCCTAACGGTGGTTTTACAGCCCATGACTGTCTTCAAACTGCAAAACTAAATATTTTAAAGCCAAGCCAGCAAAATCTACTAACGGTTAGTAGATTTTGTGATATTTTTATTGATAAATGTTGTTTGTCGACAGAACATTATCTATTAGAAATTCATAAAAAAAAGATTGCTTGTATTCATTTGGGTGATCTTGTAACGTAATATTAAGTTTTCTAAGTTATTGTAAGCGGACACAGTTGTGAAGTAATAATTAACAAACTATAGTCCATTCGCGTTAAGAAAATAGTGACGTATCGATCAAGCCCCGCCCCCTGACCAATCAGGTTCCAAGAAGTTATCGTTTCGTACGAAAGCTTGGAACCTGATTGGTCAAGATGAAGGGATCAATGGATGTGTCACTATTTTCTTAAGTAATCTTAAACATTCACTCATCTATGTATGAAGTAGAAAAAACATTATATTGTATAGTATCCATGTATTACTTATGTAAAGGTCAGTCAGTTTTTTTTGCGGTTTAAATATAAAATTGTATTCCTCTGGAGTATTACTATTTTCTGAATAAAAGATAGTCTTTTTAGCTACCCCTAGCAAGATGTGTGCCATATTGTATTCAGGTCTGTTAAGCAGTTTGACGTGAAAAGTTACGGACAAATTAACATTCGTGTCTGTAACATAAATAACACATATCTGACCTGCCTATCTTTGTCTGCGATTCTCAAAAGGATATACATTTTTTACACCCGTTTTTGCAACATTTTCCTTTGATTTTGTTTTTTGCAATTTGCATTTTTGCAATATTTAGCCTATAGTCTACATCGATAAATGGGCTATCTAAAGCTAAAGAATATTTTCAATTTGAGCCAGTAATTCTTGAAATTAAGGCGTTTAAATAACAAACAAACTTCAGATTTATAATATTAGTAAT